CAGTAAAAGTAGGTGTTTATGTCTGTCTATCTGTTTGGTTTTTTTTCTTAGTAGAAAGCATCCCTATTTGTCCCAGCTACCTTTGCACACATTCATAAATAGTCATCTAAAATGTAATACCCTTCAGTCCCCCTGTGGGAGTGTCCTCTCTTCAGGTCATTTAAACAAACTCTATAACTACAGGATACAGTAACTTAAAGTCAATTTGTCTCGTCAAAGCTTTTGCCCAAATGAAATCTTAGGTGCCTGATGGACCAGCAGTTGCTATGAAAATCAATGATCTGGAATTACCCAGGGCACCAGTAAGAGTCTGAACCACCGCCTAAGTCCTGTTCTACGTGTTGCCTACGTAAGAGAGTTTGTCACCAAGACTTCATTTTGCGATGGAACTTTTGATCTAGGTACAAAAAATAATTCAGCACTAATTTACACCTGCAGTTACTTTTGGAGATGCAATTATATCTGCTATCCCAAAGCCGGAGGCCAAGTCAAAAATTCTAAGATTCAGATGCTAAATGGATGGTGGTGATGTAAAGGCCTCGAACAGCTGCCCATGCTCAGTTCACACTTGATCCCAAGCCCATTGAAGTCACTGTGAATCTTTCCTTTGACGTCAATGGGCTTCAGATCAGGTCCTGAGCAATTTTTTAAAAACCTCAGACAAATCAAAACCATTTCCTTTGGAATGAGACTGTTCACACCCCTTGGTGAAGACTATTTCCTTTCCAAACACAGCTTTCATACCAGAGTCACGTCAGCTGAATTTCTATTTTTACCAAAAGCTGCATTTTTTAAAGAAGCAGGAAGCATATTTTTTACTTATATTTCATTTATTAGCAGCTAAGCTGTTTTTGTTCAAAGTTTCAAAAATATTCCCAGCTGGGCAGGCCAGACCTACACCCAAAAATGGGAAACATTTTAGAATGTTATGGCTATTTAAAAATACCTTTTTTTAAAATGAAAACTCCTTGCAGATTTAACCATAGCAGTGACCGCATTTTATGTGGTGAGGTGCTGACCCAACACTCTACAGCTAGTAGACTCCAGTAGATTGTTTAGTCTTATAAAATACTTGATATTATAACAAATGTTATAATTTGTGTAACAGAACTAAAATAACATTGTCTTATACAGAACAGTGCACTAAATACTATATAAATTGATTTAGAAATGTTTCAAAAATGGAAACTGAATGATAAGATATAGACCTGGGCGGAGTTGATCCACCTTCCAGGCACCATTTCTGTATAACAGTTTCCTGAATGTGATGGGAAGATTCTTGGATGATTTTGTCAGTGGAAAGCAGTCCTTCTGATGGCCAAGAGAAGAGTGAAGTGTTCCCCCTTTATTGAAGACTGTGTGGTGGACGTGTGTTCTATACTGTTTCATCAACACAGTAACGGCCAGACTTAACTGTTAAGACTGGTGTGTGCCAGTGTTGAAGTAGATCATCCTTTCAAGGGATAAGGGTATAAGGTCTCTTTGCTTCTTGACCTGAAATAACTCTTTATGGTAATGGAGAGACTATCTCAATTAGATTAGGTGACTTGCCACAGAAAAAAACTCAACTTAGATTATCTGTGTTTTCTTTTTCTGCTCAAGTATGGGCATGACAACCCCACCTCAGTGATGGTGATCTCCTGTTTAATGTGTGATTGCCACTTTACTATGGGAAACAGAACTCTCTAAACCTTGTTTCCTGAAGAATCTCCTAGGGGACATTTCTTGCCAAGTTCACCGCTGTGTTTCTGTTGTACTGGGCCTTCATCCCTTGTGAGAACATCTGTGTAAAACAGATGGATACGGTGATCTTCATCTATAGTCTCCCCACATCATTTTCTGAGTATTCTGAAAAGACGTACCTCTTGGGGGCCCCAGGTCTGTGATTGATTTTGATGCAGGAGCAAAAGCACATGTTTTGCAGAGGAAGAATGTAGATCTTGTGGGATAACTTAGAATGCACAGTAGTCTTGAGTAGAAGATAAGTAAGTGAGATAAAGCCAGAAGATGATTCCCTGGAGCCTGCCATTAGAGGAATAGTCCAAGCTATATGGCAGACAATCCTGAGATGAGACAAAGCAGAAGAATGGAGTACAGAAAGACAACCTAAGAAACCTCTTGAGAATGAAAACAGCAACTAAGGAGCCTGACTGAAAACCATTGTCAACTACTGCTTCTGGACGACATCACTTTCTTCTCCTACGGTAATGAAAGAGTTACTAAGAGGAAAATTTATTGTCCAAAAAAAGGCTTGTTCTAGCACTTTAAAGGGGGCCAGTATAAGGGACAGAGATGAGTAGGTTGCCATAACATGTGAAATTACCCCCAAAATACGTACTGTGCCTCACATGAAAAACAAGCAGACCAGGAAGTACAAAATAAGCCTTGAAGGCAGTGCAGGGGTTCACAAGTTTTTTTGGTGTGAGGGTCTTAGTGGCCTCAGCTGATGTCAATTTAAAGAGACAAATGATTACACCAGAGGCAGAAAAAAATAATGTGGTATTATTCCCTGAGGTATCGATATCTCATCAGACATGTTATTTTTTTTGAGTTAAACAACAAAAGAAAAAGGAGTTGTGGGGGAGCCAAAAAACAACCAAAATACCCCAGACCAAAACCACCACAGTTCCGCCAAGCATGAATTTAACCAACTGGTTGCCTGGCTTTATTATGTGTTTTTAATCCCACGAAAAAAAATGACATGCTTATCCAGCTAATTGGGACCCTGCTTGCATCATGTCAGTTCAGGAATCCTAAAGAAAAGGGCTATAAATGCACACAAAAAGAGAACTTAAAAATAGGTAGTCATCCTGTGGGTTTAAGCATTTACCTAGCATATACCGGATTCCTAGTCCTAACTCATTTCTTAAACTGCACTGGTGAACATCAAAGAGTACAGCACAGAGCATGCTGAGTCCCAATTACACACCTCAAAAGTAAATGTTACCTCAATGGAAAATCTTCAAAAATTCTAAATTAAATAAAGGCCAAGATGCCCAAACGCTCCCTGAAAAATATAGACCCTTTCTTCATTGATAGCGATTGCTTCATTAAAATACATAATTGTTAATATACAAACTACATTGCTTGTTGAAAAACTGTTTTAGAAATGTGTTAGAGCACATATGGATATTACTGCTCTTTGCAAGATATCAGGAAAAGAAGTGTCAAATAATTAATTTCAGTGCATTCCTATTGTTTTTTAACAAGCCGTCTTTAGAGACAGGAAATCTTTTCTGAACACGGCTCATGTTTCAAAGAAGAAATAGAGTTAGTACAAATAATTGGTGCACGTTGAAGTCAGAGGAACATGAGTTGTTTTATTAAAAAAAAAAAAGAAGTCTTTAAAAGCTGTGTAAACTCTGTGTAGCTAAATTCAAGTTCAAAGAGTTATGTCTTTCACATCATTTAGCAAAAAATCATGGTAGCAACTGTCTTTGATTGTTGGGATTTTTTTTCTTTCTTCCCATAGTAATGAAGAGATTTTTCTCTACCACCTAAATCCAGTGCAAAGAAACAAACTGGCAACATAGCCGTAAAATTAATTCAAATAAATAATGAATAAGGAAATAGGCATAATGGCCTTTAATTTCAGTTGGACATCCTCCCTAACCTTCATGCCAGTGCTCACATGCATATTCCCATCACATATACTTGCCTTCCTGCAAGTACATCTGGTGAACTGGCTGTGGCAGGTGAGGGATAATGAAGTGCCTTCTATAGTCACCAGCACACCCACTGTTACTTTCATGGAAAGACTTTCACAGAAAAATTGCTATGCCATGGCAGATATGTCAATACGCTACCAGGATAATATATATCCAATACATAGAAGTGTGTGTGTGTGAAATGAACTAGAATAGACCTTTCCTAAGGAAATTAACATAGACCAGAATTGATAAAGTGTGCTAAGCCTCTTTTATTATTATTTGGATTCTAGTCTGGTTGCATTGCAACTGAAAGTTTCTAGGGCTAGGAGATGTGTCAATACTGAAACACATAGCAGATACTCATTTCTTAATTTATTTCTGATTTTCAACCCATGACGATGATATCTTTCCTCATTTTAATGGATTTCTTTACTGTTTTTTCTCTTTCTTTTACTTTTCAATAGTTCTGTCCACCATAATTCTGGAATTTACTTTTGAAAAGAATGGAAGATTGTGCAAGTGAAGGGGGAGAATTTCCGGTAGATTTCATATTAAAAAAAAACAGCTTAACTTTGTACATCACAGTCTAAAATTCTTCAACCAGTCATTAAGACCTTTTCTTTTAAATAAGCACCTATGAGTAATGCCCTTTAATGAGAAAGTTTGTGTTATGTTAACACCGCTTTCTGTTGTGAAATATAGCAGAAAGTCGTCTGGCTTTGCCTGCATTGGCAGCCTCTGGCTGCCAGACTTGAGTTTAGGTGCTGCCTGCACCCAGTGCCAAAAGAGACAAGGAGAGAAGCAAACAGTGGAGATTGCAGGGCAAGTTCTCAGCAATAGCTGTGAGCCTCACTAAAGGAAATATTTATATGTAAAAGAAAACATGGATATAAAAGTTTTTTGGATAATTCTGCTTGATTAAGCAGTCGTTATGGCTGGCAAGGGCTCTTATACATCTCAGAGTCAGGTGTGGTTGATCAAATATGGGCAGAAGCAGGTTTGGATACAGGGTTAGTGAAACCTATAAACCTTTACATGAAGATAGGTAGCAGCCGCGGCAGTACTGAAGCTAAAACACAGAAATCACACAGCAGGGAGGCAATGCACAGTAAAATGTGAGGAGCTCTGAAGTGTATGTTCTTCTCTTCACTGCTCTTTTTTTTTTTATTTTTTGCATGCTTTTGATCATTTCTAAAATAGTTGAGAACTGCCAGTTAATGCTGAATCCAGATAAATGACAGCAGTTCCTACATGTCTTAGAACATGTGGGATGATAAAGGTTGCTTTAGGTACAGACTTTTGCTGGGGGTTTTGCTACCATAAGGGCTAATGGTTTACTTTTTTTCCCAGGAAATCTTGGATTGTGGACCACAACTCATTAGTCATTCCTTGTGGCTCAATATCACCTTCAGCATGATCCAAACCACAAATGTGAGTCACTAATTATCTATCCTTTGTTTCATTAGGATCAAGCAAGGCATTTTTTATGGTTTTCATTATTTTTATTTTTTTATTACTTGTTTTATCAGGTTCACAAAAAGAGAAATTTGTTCTTCATTAATACCTGAACATGAGGTACATTTTTTATTTTTGGTTGCTATTTCAATTTTTCTGTAACGCAGAATTGTCTGTTCTGTGATGCCATAATATCTCTTGCTGTTTTGCAGTGAATCACCAGTTTCAGGAGAGTCAGAGTGTGAGGAAAACTTGGTTTCAAAGTTGCATTAAAAAGGATACTTCAGCTCAGACTAAATAGGATAGCCTTGTGCCTAGATGATATCAGCATTTTTTGCTATTAGCAATTTTAGTACAGTGGTACTATACTAGTACAGACTACTTTTAGATTTCAGGTTACTTGGTTCAGACTGCAGTATGTGGAACTTTTCACAAGCTGCAGTGCACTCAGCCCACTAAAAAAGCTGATTTTATACAGCTTTATGGATCACTGCTGTTAAAAAAAGATCATTTTCAAAATGTCTTTTTAAAGCCCTCTTATTTCTTATGACTGTTTTACCATTCCTTGCACCAAGAATACCAAGACAAGCTGATATATTCTCTTGTAGTTTGAATTGATTCAGGGATTATACACAATATTTCTGCATTGTAATTCCACAACAATTCCCCCAAGTTGTCTGCATGCGTGGAGAGCTCTAGATGTACCTACTTTAGTTCCTGTGAGCCTAAACAAAGAATCCACATCAGTACTTCCATATTTCTGCCCAGGATTTCCCAGACACAAATATGTGTTCACATATCCTTAAAATATTTGAGGTATGCACAGTAAATCCATTACTTTCATAACATGTCAGATATACTTGTGAATGTGCGGAAGAACTGGACACCACATGCTAAGTAGCTATTATTCCTCCCAGAAAACGCAGATACACTGTGAGTGTCAGAACCGCCTGGCAGCGCGATCCAGCCCCTTCTGGAGTCATCAGACCTAAGGCAGCACCACCATCCTGCAGGGCAGCGAACCTGCTCTTCCCAGCAGAGTGCTGCCCACTTACACAGTGCACACTTATACAGGCTGCCATACACCTAGGAAAGAGATGTCTCCTCACCACCACCAGGCACTACATTTCGAGGCTGAAGAGCGGCAACATGAAAACCCCTGGGCAGCTGGAAACCCCCTGGCAACGCAAGACCACAGGAGTGCAGCCTTCTGCCAGTTCCCATAGAAGTGATGGAGCTTTGCTGGTCAGAGTAAGGTTAGCATCTGACCCAGCCACTTTTTCTCTCAAGAGAAGACTTTGGTCTTTGGAATTGGGTGTTACCATAGATCAACAAACAGAACTGACAAAGGGTAGAACGTGCATTTGCGTAAGGACAATAACAAGCACATCAAGAAACCCCAAAATGAATTAAGCCAATAGAAATAAGCAAAGCAAAATATCTACATCTATACACAATCAGTCTAGAGAAAGATAATATTTACAACAGATGTTCAGCTTCTTGCCCATTTTCTGCAATTCCAAATTTCAGGAGACAAGCATTGCTTTGGCAATGTTGCTGTACGTGTTTAATGCAAAGTATTTAGAAAGCACTTTAAAAAGTTGACATTAATGTTGGGGGGATGAAAAAAGAAGAGAAAGGGAAAAAAAGGAAAAATGTAGGTGAGATGAAGGAGCTGGAATTGGCTGTGTTTATTCATCTCTACATGCGAATGTTGCTGGTACGCTTCTTAAACCTGGGCACACTGACACGTACAGACAATCAGGCACATTGAGCCCAGCAGCAGGGGACAGGGGAAGCAGCTGAGCCAGGGAGGAGACAAATTCAGGGCAGATCTCAGGATGGCAGTGGAGAGTGTGTCAAGAACAGGGATTTTATCCTAGGAAGGATATTTTGTTATTTCGGGAGACTTCTACTTTAAAATCCAAAAATAGGTTGTTAGGCATGCAAGGTTTAATTGCTGCATTTCAGCCCCCAAAAAGTAATGAGCAATGCAAATTTAAAAAAAAAACTATGTCCCTCCTTCTTCTTGGACAGCTCTGGTAAAAGTGTATGAAGAACATAACGTAGCTTCCCTGTATTAATATACAGTATAAAGAAATAGCTCTAGAGCTCAGGACACAAATGGAGCTTTAGATTAGCTGTCAACAATGTCATATCCATGTTAATAATGCCCTGTTCATGCCTGGGGCTGACAGTCTTTCTTATTTTTATTCACAAATTCCATTTAATAACAGCAATAAGTCACTCTAGACAGTGCATTTCTAAGGGATTTTTGCACTTCTCAGGTGGTTAAAGTCACTTGACCTTCGGCCTCATGCCTTAAAAACTCCCTAAGAGATGTGCTAAATTGCCCAGAAATACATTGCCTGTCATGTCTTGTTGCTTAATTAAGGGCCAACCTAGATGGCCTATAAGGACTGCCCTTAAGTAATTACTAATTGATCTCCTACTCAAGAAAAATGAATAAATTCCACAGCAGCCACACTGTCACATGGCATTTACTCAAATTCATATTCCTCCAATAGAGAATGAAAAGCACACAGCGAACGGCTGGATTGAGGGCACAAACATCTTTAGAGTGGTTAAGCCTCACTCCCGGAGTTTGTCATGTCTTATTGGCTGCAGCCACCACGCTCAGCCCTTCACTTGTGTGGAAACAAAATACATTGCTTGAAAAACAGAGTTCTTACAAACTAAGGAATATCTGGAATTTTCCATGTGGATCTTCCTACTTTGAAAGGTGTTTAATCTGTGTTACAAATATCTAACCGAGGAATCTCAGTGAGAGATTGATAAATTGTCACCTGATGAACGTTAAATAATTGTAGCCTACCAAAACAGCCAAAGGAAACAGATTTCAAAGCTCTTTTCTGAAGAAAGGCGATAGGATTTAGGTTGGCACAGGAGAGGTTCTTGCAGCTTTTGTTACCCAAATTGTTTATCAGAGTACATGTAACACTTCCTGGACTTGTTGCATTTTCTGTCTGAAGCTCCAGATGGTCCAAAAAAGTGCTGATAGCTTCTTTTTTTTTAAGATGATGACAATGCTTTGTGCTGCATCAGAAATCTTGACTATGCATAAGAAAATGCTTTCAGGTGTAAGCAATATGAATATAACGATCTTAAGAAATATATGGATGAGTATTTATTAACCTCCTATTATTCACAGTAAGACGGTAATGGGTAAAAGTATATGTCAGAGTATAGAGGGTAATCGGTAAAAGTATATGTAAGAGTATAGAACTGCTTCTATGCAAGCAGTTTTTACGTATCAACTTCCCACACCTACATTAGTGGTTTACACATCTCAAAATTACTCATAGTAAAAAAGGACCTACTTTTGAAACAGTTCCCTTGGACACATTGCATGAAACCAGGAGTCATTGGAGTCAAAGATAACATTTCTGTTGACTTCAGCAAGGCCAAGATTTTAGTCCCATTGACATGAGTAGTACAAAACCATACAAAATTTGGGGAATACTCTGGTACGTGATAATATATCGTACAGCAGGATAAGCCAATTTTTTTGTTGCCTTGTACGAAAAGCTGCAGTGGTTCCATGCTTCAAATGATGCTGTATGCAGGGCTCCCCACATGCCTCTGAAATTGCATTAGGGGAGGAGCAGCATTTGCACTGATTGAGGAGAAACTGGGAATCTGAACTCTGAAAAGACACTCTGAACACTGCAGTGGCACTAGCACTGATGGCATAATGCTAGGAACCATATTAAGATACCTGTCTCACTTACTAAATGCTTAATTGCTTTCCATATCTTTTAATATGTTAAATGTCATGAAGTCGTTGTACATAAAACTGTGAATATTATGGATAGCTGGGACCTGTCACATAAATACACCTTCTTGTCATTAAAATTATGTAACTGATTGCGATTATTTGATTTCAACATACTGTATTAATTGTTTTAAAATATCAACAGATTGATAAATGAAATAAAAGTGCTAATCAACAGGTATTCCTTAAGCCTGTTTGAAACAGAGATAAACAGCGAGCTGTGAAGGGCTGTTTGCCTCTAACTGAATAAAACCAAAGGACTGAAAAGCACAGTCAAAGCGGACAATCAGTCCTCTGGGTACTTTCTGTAAAAATTACATCCTGTCCTATTTCTGCAGTTGATGCAATTCTGCAATAATATGTTTGATTAAGCTGGCTACCAGCAAGATGTGTAAACATATGCAACATAAGCTAATTTTTTGTGATATAACATTTTCACAGTTACTCATGGGTAGCAATGAACTGGCATTTCTAGCAGGAGGTTTTTTCCAGAACCTCAGAGCTCAACTAGAGGTTTATCACGTTAAAATAATCTTAACTGAACACCAATATTCATGCATCATTTTGGTGTGGCAGGAAAACATGTTCCTTTAAAAATAAGGGAATAGTAATACCGATAATTCTGATTCCTGGATGTGCCTAGTTTCTTGCAGCTGAAAAGGCCTTTGCTGTCATCATGTTCTGCAATGATTTTTGTGTTTTTCTATAACATTTTTCTCCCTACACATGTGGGTTTTATATCCTCTTCATGTTGGTATAGCATGAAGTCTTATGTGGAATTTAGAGGATCTGAACTAAATGTAGCTAAAAGGAACTTTTGGATGAACTGCCTGGGATTTGTTCAGATCTGTTAAAGTAATGGGGGAAAGCACAAAAGGATAAAGAAAAGAAAGGCCTTAATCTTTGTTCCATGAGTGATAAAGCAGCATCACATGGGTGAAAATTGGCCTGACCTTCACCCACATGATGCTGCTTCTGCCTCAGCCACTCTTTCTTTGCTCTGATTAAGTGAAGATAGCCTCTTTCTCTGCAAGGAAAAGTCAAAGAACAAAAAAGAAAAAAAATCCTGTCTTAACTATAAAAGGTTTATTTTTTTAATCACAGTTGGGCTCATACAAGCCAGTTTCTAATCTTATTTTTTTAAGCTAAAAAAGTGCCTTTTTAGAATTTCTTTGGCTCGGTTTCTTTAGCCCCCCCCCTCGAACCTCAGGCCCTGGATCTTAACTTGCTTCCCTTGGATGTGCTTTGTTGCTCATCTTCACTTTTACATGATAGCTGTTTGACTGTTCGCCAAAGGATTGCCCCTTGGGGAATGGAAAA